GGCCATGCCGCAATCCCTTCTCCTCCATTCTCCTCTCGGGATCTTGGGCACGCATGCACACACGCCCGGCATGAGTTTTAAGCCACCAGGTCCGGGACGCAAACCGCGGTTGACTATGTGGGAGTCCAGAGACATAGCCATTATGCTAACTGCTGATTCCCTGAGTCCCAATTTCCATCTGTCTTTAAATGGAAAGATATAATTCAATGTACACTTGAGAGCTATATCTTCATGAAAATAAACACATCCCTTGGGCTTTTATAAAAATTTTAAATAACACTACTTGAGCCTTAAATGTCCTAAATTGAAAATTAAGTGATGTACAGTAAAAGGTTATTGATTATTTGCTTTTAAGATGTCAAAAATTTACCCATATGTGTCATTTTCAACATCACTGGCAATTATGATAAAAATTAATACATACATACTCCAGATCTGGGATAAACTCAACAAGATGCACTCCAGTCTCTTATGAAATTGGAAGTAGCCAGACTGGCTTTCAGCCCTTTCGAGACTGCAATAATTTTGCTTGTTTGCCTTTTATGGACCTGGTCTGTTGAATCCATTAACTAAATTTGTTTCTTCTCACCTAGACGCTTTCAGACTTCAGACTTCTCTTCAAGTGTTTCAGCTGTGTCTGCTGTGAACTTCTGTTGGGGACCACTAGCTTGACCTCTGCTGGAAGGTCTGACGCCATCCCTGTTAACGTCCCAATCTCAGCATGAAGCAGCCAGAGCGGTCTTCGTCCCTTCCCCCCAACAGCAGTTAGGAGTATTTCTTCAGAGGGGGAAATGAGATAGGCACTAGACCCCACTTATAGGTAGATAGAGGAGGGGCCCCAAAATAAAATCACTATGCTTTTTTTTTTTTAATGAATTCTCTGTGTTCTTCCTTTATGGTCTGATCAATTATATGTATATATGCCCCTTTTACCTGTCTCTAAAGAATGTATGGCTCCTTGCTAGTAAGGCAGAAGCTAGGGATATTGAGCACAGAGCAAAGGCCCAAGATGGAGTCACAGTGGCTAAGTTTTCACAGCCAAAAAGCTGACTGCATTGAGACTCAATGAACTGTGGCTAAGGGCAAGTTTCTATTCGGTAACTGTTCAGACAAGAAGTACCAGATGCTCTGGTCTACTGATCCCTCAAAGAATAGGGTAATAAATCTCTCAGAGTACCATGCAGCCATTTTCTAAAGCCCACTTCCTTATCAGAGAGCAGGTCCATTGCTCAAACTGCTAGATAAAAACCCCTGGCAAAAAGAAAGAAAAATGTCACCTTCAGACCTTTCTATGCTAAGTTTCAATGGGTACAAGTCTTCTGTCTCCTGCTCCTTGGAGAAAAGCTCTAAGATTAAATAAAACATTTCCTTCTACTTTATTATTTACAGTCTTAGATCTTAAAGGTGCCTTTTCTGTGTACCCTC